TTTTTTGGAATTAAACTACTACTATATACTGCTCCGAGCGGGTTAATAGGGATTCGAGACTAGATTCTAGAAAAAAAAGTCAATAGCTAAATGAGAAAATATATAAAAAAAAATAATAATAAAGAGAGTAATAGTAAATGAAGGGTGGTGAAAAGAAGTAAAGGGGATGCAATCAAAAGCTACTCATCTATGTTCAAACGTGAAAGTACCTGTTGAACATTTGGCGTTGTGAATAGAGACGGCGAAATTGCACCTCCGATTAATTGCGCGGTCTGCGTCGACGTCGGACTCGCCGCCACCCTTCCTCGTCCCGTACTGGAGATGCAGCCTGGATGGATGGAAGGTTGAGCTACCTCGTGCAGCTGGGTTGGATCTAGAAAAGAACAAGCAAAGAACATCCCGTGTGTGATCATCAGAGTATACGTGAGAGCAACAAGCAAGGTTTTCATTTTTCTCTCTATATCGCTTAGGCCCTTTACATTGTCGACTCCCTTATGTTTTACGAAGCTTCCGACATTTTCAGGTACGCCCTGCGACGGTGCGGCTGCACGCTATTCCGTTTCATTAAATGCATATCAATCGGAATTTCAATAATATATACAAAACTAGAAACCTTTAGTCCCGATTGCTAGGGCGACAGATGGCGCAATTGCTCAGCCATCGTTGAGTATATTTAAGGTTTTCAGATGCTCCACCGGGAGGTTATATGACAATTTATGATATAACACCGATCCTAAATTTCGGACACCAATATTTATAGCAATATGTCATTTTTACTTTACTTCCGAAACGTTTAAAGAATGAAGAACTTCTAAATCTTAAATGATAGTGCACTATATTTAGTATATTGGAAATCAAAGTAATCTTAATTAAGTATTTCAGAGAATTTAAGGATGTAGTAGATCACCAATACTACAGTTTAATGAAGTTCAAAGTCAAATTGTAAAAGTAAAAATTAATAACTAAATAGAAGAAACCCAATATTCCAAAAAGTTATCTATTAATTATCATCCAATTAAATGCATATTCCAATTGAGTAATGAATGAATTTACACACAACATAAATCGTTATATACGATTTTAATAGAAGATTTAAATCAAAACAAGATTCCCAAATATCTAATCATTGATTACATATAAGATATGGATATTGAATTTATTGATTATAATCTGACTCTAGTATTAAGTTTATGATTCATGAATCTCCTTACCAAAATGAAAACGTCTCAAAAGAGACGCAAAGGGTAATAAATGATTTAGTTTAAAAAATTCTATGGATATTAACAATGCAAGTAATCGCATGATTTTCCCGCCGTACATTGACCTTTCGCCATTGAACTCAGCAACGAAAAGGTCGATTTACTCAAGGACATGAGGGGTCAATAGTATATTCGAACCTTAACATAATATGTGGACTTACTCTATCAAATTTACTCCAGAAGTATACTTTTTATTGATTTTTAATAATCTACATTTCGTTAATTTATAATTCGTTAGATAATTTGAACGCGAATGAAATATCATTCAATAATGAAATGTATATGAGATTCATTGATACAAAAATTATACAAAAGATAGAGGAAATCGATAACTTTCAGAATCTTTTGAAGAAATGCAACGAATCCATCAGTTTACAGAAATAATAATAAAAAAAAATGTCAAAAGGATTGTTACATGAGGTGGAAACAAGATTATTTCAAGAAGAAACGCAAATTAAATGTATGAGTGAGGACTGATTCAAGAAGAGTAAACGTTTACTAATATTGAAAGAAAATTCAAATGAACTTCATTAAATGAAATTCAGAAAGAAAATCTAATTTGCGAAGACGAATATCTTCTTCGTATGTTAGGTAAATAGATTTGAATAGCAGATTATGTAAATAGAATCTACGAAGAAACCAGGCAAACGCAGATAGTTTCGTAATGCGGATACTGAATGCTATGTTAGAAGAGCAGAAAGCAGACCCAGCGCATGAAAAATCCCATTACCGCCGATCACAGACAGAATAGGTTCAAAAAAAATAATAATAAAACAATGTAAGAATAAAGCAGGATCAAATAGTAAAGAAAAAGTGTATGGAAATGCAAAGCGAGAAATAAAAACTGATAAATAACAAATAAAAATAAAATAGGGAGGTAAACTAAATAAAACTTTCTGTTTGCTCAAAAATCTTTCAATTTTTGGACACAAACAATAAGATGACATAATAACGAAATAATACTCTTAACATAACATTTACCACAGAAATGCTCCGAATACTAATAAATTGCTTATTATTTTCAAATCCTTTTTTTTTATACACAAAAATATTTTCTTTCCTATAACGTTGAGTTAAAATGAACATAAAAAGAAACTCGCAAGTATTAAAAATACACACTGCTTCTGTAACGAAATGTACGCATGCATATCTCGCTCGCTAATTTCACGCGTCTCAGTCAAATCTCTTGCGGTTTCAAAAATATTTAAAATAAAAAAATTTATATATATATATATAAGTACTTGAAGAGCCCAACATCGATTAAATATAAATAAATAATAAGTTACAACATTGTATATATATATAGTTCTTGTTAGGTTTGTTTTAGTTTTAGGTTTGTTTTTGGTAGATATAATTGCTGCCAATGTATTAGGCATCTTCTTAGGAAGATTAACTTAGGCTCGCAAAGTCGTTCCCGAAATCGTTCTGCTGATCAATAAAGGTAAATTCGCTGGTACCCAAAAACGCTGTGCAATCCAGATCTGCAACCCGAAATGATTAAAATCGCAACACAATCAACAAGATGCAATCATTTTCCATCGAGCAACACTGAAATTTATTTGTGCGCGAATATCGACCGAATCCAATATGGCAATAAAAAGACATCATCAAGAATGAAAGTAAAAGTTTCTTTTTTTTTTTAAATCAAACTATAATGGAATTGGGAGAGAATTTCCTGACTCAAGCAGATTCTTCAAAAAACAAATCCGAAAATGTGCATAATTCAAGCAATACGAGAATTTGAACCATTCGCCCAGAAATAAAGTAATAGATTTGTGAAACTCTCAAAATTCGATTTTTCTTTATTATTAATTATTGAAATTGTACAGAAGGACCTTTATTAGCGGTCCTACAAAGCGAATTATGGACGGAATCAGAATGTTGAGAGCTATTCAACTAAGCTTAAATAGAATGAACGTGACTCAATTATTGATTGTGCGAATCAACATCAAGTGACGGTATGTTACTTACCAAGGGCAATTAGATTGTTAGCAATTAGTGTATTGCTAATAACAGTCTGAGTGGTGTCCATTGAAACTTCTCCTAGCCCATTAACTGACATACCATTAACCATGTTAACAGCTAAAAATGATATAGTTAAATCACAAAAATTCACTTGTTATTACATGAGTGAACAGCAAACCATTTCTAACTCCTTGAGCATCCAGTTGGTTCCAGTAGTTTTCACTGGGAGAGATATTGGAAGCACCAGGTGGCGGCTGTACAGGGGCCCCGGTGTAACGGAAATATGGATTCTTCAGATCCAATGTGTTAGACGATCTCTGTGTAGTTCCTTCCAACTTTAACTCAATAGTTACGTCGTAGCTTTGCCTAAGCAAAATATGTTACATATAAATATACAAGTAAAATGAAGACCACATTGCGATTGGTTGCTCACCTTTTATTGGCTACAAGAACTACCTTGCCAGTTAGCACTTGCCCTTGCTTTACGAGAATAGGTTCTTCCAGCAAACAACGAACTTGGTACCAATGTGTTAAAGGTTCGGTCGGCGCGGTACTCAACCAAACTGTAGCATCGGTACCAATGAATGCCACATCGAACCAGAACGCCAATCCGTGGCATGTTCCCGACTCTAGTAAGTGAAACTCAATTGGTATATCAATTGTGTGCAGATCAGTCTCTGAGGCTTCTAGGAAATCTACAACATGCCTAACGGATTTGCTCAGGCATATTCTGGCGTCGAAGGTATCTACTATCGGTTGCCGGAAGTACTCTTTAATTGCACAGTTTTGTATAGCGGACAAGCTGACACCATGAAAGCATGTTTGGAACCAGAAGTTCGCTTTACCGAACTGTTCCATATAAAGTGCGTCATCTGTGAACGGAGCGATGTGCAAGTCGCCTCTTGTAGGGAACATTTTTCCATTTGGCTGTAACCATTTCTTGGCATGTAAATATGTTTCCAACATTCTTTCGTTGTACAGCATATATCCCATTGGCTCGGACACGATTATATCAACTTTTTCAGGAAGATCGATCTCCTCGATCTTTCCAGGAACTACTTTTATAATATCTTGCAAGTCATTAGCAGCGACTAACTTTTGTGCAAAATGCGCCATTGTGGACGCTTCAACTGCATACACTTTTTTCGCACCAGCTTGAGCAGCAAAGAAAGACAGGATACCAGATCCAGCGCCAACGTCTAACACCACTTTGTCCTAAATAAAAGAAGCATTAATAACAACAGCTGGAAATAAATGTCAAGAACAAATAAAACGCACCTTGAAATCTGCCAGGTTGCAGAGAATTGCCCTTTGGTAGGTGGATGTTCTCACAAAGTCTTGAAGCATATTCTGTTGCTGAGACAGGTATCCATAAAATTGAAAGTACTGGGTGGCAGATGAGTCTTCTGTCCTCATAGAAAACACTGATGCCCCCTTTCCAGACTTGATTTTAGACACCGATATGTGGAAAGCTCTACAATCTGAATACGTTTGTGTGAATTATGCAAATGGTATTTCTTTTTTGTATTACCTTCTTCCTCTTGGAATTTAAAGAACAATGATTCATTGTCAATGTGGAAAATGTAAGCCTTCGGGGTAACCTTACAACACTCAATATTAACATGTATGGGGAACTCAAGTAGAAGGGTCTCATCACAACCTAAAATATCCAATAGAATTAGAAAAAAATTGAAATACATCTTCCCCAAGTAATTTGGTGCATGCAGGTATTTGTTACATGGGAAAAAACGACGGACAAATAAACAAAAACAATGGACAATTAGCATACCAGATGACTCATTAGAAATATTTTCTGCTGGGATAGTTCCTTCTTGGTAATAGGATTGAAGTTTTTTCTATGCTCAATGTTGGATGAGGACGAGGTAGAATCTTGAGGGGAAGAAATGAAGAGAATTTGAGGGAAAAAGTTTAGATTGCGATTGTTTGTCTCAGTTTTCGGCGACTTTGAAGAAGCATGGCAAAATGTGCCGAATGCTCAACGGCTTCGGCGAATCTTACCGGAGATAATCTTGAGACTTAACCCTTGCGGATCGTAGTCTAACTTCATATGAACGGAATTCTCATATTTCCTTTGTGGCAAACCATCGGCATCAATAACGAACACTTCGACAGTCCAACAATTCGGCGCCATATTTGTCACACTAACAACCTCTTTATCTACCATTATGTAGCCGACTGTCTAATTTAACGAAACTCACTGATCGCCAATGCTGTCGTTCCTAAAGTTGGCAACCATTCATCACAACCAAGAAATCCTATATCAAACCAACTTGCAAAACTGCTGCTGACTGTGACGCACTATTTCGCCTCTTCCATTTTATACTTGGACACCCCCTCCAACCCTTAACCGTTTTCGCAGCGACCGTTTGTACAATATTCAAATACCGCCACCTATCGGATGCCACCTCTATACATTAAAAGATTTGAAATTACAGAAATTCAAATTGAAAATCTAGACCTTTTCATCTTCTAAATGAATCAAAGACCATTAAAACCAATTTGGGGACTCTATTCATTTATTGTAGTCTATTCTATCAGTATAATCAATTCCTAATTAAAAAGCTTTTGGAACGCAGCAGTTTAAACAGCATTATATTTTTTAATTTGACCTTGCGCTGGACATTATGAATCCAACGACATCTAAGCAAATAATTCTTGTTCTTTTAAAAAAGAAAAGATTTAACTTTTAGGTATTGCAAAATTTATAAAAAAAATCTTAAAATTAGTGATGTTCAATTTTCAGAATCATCTCCTAACAAAGATACTTAAGAATCTAGTCTATTTGCCACGTGTCTGTAAAGTCTTTTAATAAGAATAGTTACTGCTATAATAAGTCTTATTCGGACTCATAATCTAAATAAATAAAATAAGAATTTAGGTTAGACCGTAAATTTCTTTGAATAAAGCCGCAGTAAATATTCCGTGTCTTTGAATTATTATAATAACCAAATAACGCGCAATAATAAATATTAATCAGGCATTTGGACCGTGATTGATGGAATTAGGAAAATTGGCACCTTTGTGCACAATTGCATCCATTGTGCATGCATTTCTTAAATTAACGCTTATTGTTGCAAATTGCGATGGCATTGACATTGCTTCTATTCTCACATTATAATATCAAGCTGGTAGCAGATTTTTGTTAAATGTAATTTCAATTCAAATTTATTACAATCTTTGATTGCGAAAGCAAATTATTATTGTTATGAAGTAATGTGAGTCATGAAGATTTATGGAAATATTTTTTTGCTATTTACTGTTTTGAGCTGATAATGAATAAATGAGTAGATTATGAAATTGAATGCGTTGGAAAATAACAAGAAAATATATCCAATTCGATTGTATTTCAAAGTATTTTCAACGAACAAAAGACAATTTAGATATAGATTGCTCATTGTTTCCGAATGCATATCAAATGAATATTTTTTTTGGAAAGCTTTTATGCTACTTTTTATTTACAAACATTTATTGCACATAAAATTCAATGCGTAGTTATGAATGTTTATTTACGTATGACTCTCAAATAACGCTACATTAAGACCACTACATTAAGATTGCGTATATATTAAACGCAATCAAACTTTTGTATATGGATATTTCTCAGTTTTCATCTATTATTTATTATTTCTATAGAAACGAAACTCGCGAAAGACTCTCTCGTTCAGTTTTTACAGTGAACAGAATACAATGAAAAAAAAAGGTTCAGCCACTGTATAATGGGACCCATCTGTTGCCGAATATCGGCCGTCCGCTGAAACGGCTCACTCGTAATTTCTTTCTCCAGAAACTGGCCCAGGTAACTTTGGACACCTTGGGCTACCTAAACGCATAATAACTACAGCCTCGGGTTTTGCTTGTAATGGAGCCTGGACCGAATCAGATCACAAGCACATCATTATATATAGCATCATCTTTTAAATTTGTAAACTCAGATTATTGAAGAATCTTTTGTTTGTAATTAAAATCATATTACATATGCACTAATTAGAAAATGGTCTGAATACGGTTCTGTAATTAAAAAATAATTGCACTTTTCGTTAAAGATCATCAAACAATCTGTTAAAACGGTTACAAAGTCCACTTCAGTCATCGAAATTGAGAGCAAGGATAAGCCTATGCTATGTTATTGTTGCTTATTTTGTATCCGCACCGGCGTACGATTGTTGTTGAACCGGCCGTGCCGGCGTAGTTATGCAACGTGTTTTGATTACGCTGTTTTATGTTTTCCGTAAAGCTTCGCTACGTAATTTAGTGATGATTGGCGAATTCTGAAAGGATTCCACTTTGTGCCGGAGGCGTGTCTCGTTTATCGTTTATAGCCCAAATACAGGACCTGAGAAACCAGACGATAAGATAACGGAAGGATATTTAAGAAAGTGTCTCGAGGTGATTCCGTTTACAAAGTCCACGATAACATAAACAACATGGTGTCTCGTCAAAGAGTTGTTAACTTGCTTCATCTGGCTACGTCTAGTGCGTAAGTATATTTGCAGATTTTAGTTGGGTTTGTCTTATGTAAAAATAACTATGAACCAGGTGCAAATGTCCAGCGCATTCGAACATAGGCAGAATATCGAATACTTCAGGTGTCCCATCAAAAGACTATGCATTCGAGGTAAGAATTTAAATTGTGTACTATTCATAAAACTCTCCAATTGTATTATTTACTTTTTTTGTAATACCCATGAAATTATTTTACCTTGCAATTACTAAGTTTTGTTATAATTTAAACTTAAAAATACAAATAAAATGAAATTGGAAGAATATGTAAAAAGACACTTGTTGATCATTTATATTTTATTTAGAAATTCAGGTAAAACATTTTGTAGGATTATATCAGTTGTGGATTGAGATAAAATGTATATCTTATTGATTTATATTTAATTAATAATATTTAGATGGCTTCATCCACCGTTCGTTATGGAATTGGGGTGACTAAAGAAGTCGGCATGGATATGGTTAATATGAACGCAAAGAACGTATGCGTTGTAACCGATGCTAATCTAGTAAATTTAGACTGCGTCAAAGTAACTTTGGACTCTTTGGCTAAAAGCGGTGTCAAATATGAGGTATATGATAGAACTAGAGTGGAACCAACAGATACTAGCCTAATAGATGCAGCAAACTTTGCGAAGAGCAGAAACTTCGACGCCTTCATTGCCGTTGGTGGTGGATCGGTAATAGATACTTGCAAAGCAGCCAATCTGTATGCATCCGATCCAGAAGCCGAGTTCTTGGATTACGTAAACGCACCCATCGGGAAAAACAAGCCCGTTAAAGTGACACTAAAACCTATGATAGCCAGTAATATGCAAACAAACTTGAAAATCTTAAACAATTAGCTTATGGTATTTGTGTTCCAGTTCCTACCACTTCCGGAACAGGAAGCGAAACAACAGGTGTCTGCGTCTTCGATTATAAACCTCTACACACTAAAACTGGAATTGCTAATAGAGCTTTGAGACCAATCCTGGGAATCATAGATCCTTTGCATACGCTAACTCAACCTGAAAGAGTTACAGCCTATAGTGGCTTTGATGTTTTTTGTCACGCCTTGGAATCTTTCACTGCTATTCCTTATAACGAACGCAGCCCATGCCCAGAGAACCCTAAACTGCGACCAACCTACCAAGGCCAGAATCCCATATCAGATGTGTGGGCTAAATTCGCTCTGAATATTATCAGAGATAACTTCGAAAGAGCAGTATACCATCAGGATGATCTAGAGGCGAGATCGAAGATGCATTTGGCCTCGACTATGGCTGGTGTGGGTTTTGGAAACGCTGGTGTTCATCTGTGCCATGGTCTATCCTATCCGATTTCGGGAAACGTCAAGCATTTTAAGCCTAAAGATTACAAGTAACTAGTTTTTATTATCAACATCTAATCAATATTAATGAATTGGATTCCAGCGATGATCATGCGATCATTCCTCATGGTTTGTCTGTGGTGATGAGCGCGCCTGCTGTGTTCGAATTCACATCACCCGCCTGCCCAGAGAAGCATCTGGAGGCAGCTGAAATCTTAGGTGCGGATATATCGAACGCCAAACGGGAGGATGCTGGTAAAGTCTTAGGAGATGTGGTCAGGAAGTACATGTACGCCATGAAGATCGAAAACGGTTTAGTTGGATTAGGGTTCGGAAGTGACGACATTCCCGGATTGATTAAAGGCGCTTTACCACAGGTATTTACTCAACTCTAAACCGATACTTACTAAAGACTTATTCAATTAGGAGAGGATAAACAAGATGGCACCAAGGCAGCAGAGCGAAGAGGACATTGGGAATTTATTTGAGAAATCCTTATCAGTTTACTAAAGAGATAGGAAATGGAGTAAAATTCGAGCATATTCATTGAATATCTACATTACATCTTGACATTTTTTAATTACAGGAATATTATTACATCAAAAGCTTTATATCTTTCTTCTTTTTTGTTTTAAATATTTATTACGTTTTGTTTATTAATTTTATTCATCATTAATAATAATAATTAAATTATTTAATTAGCATGTTTGTGCACATTTATGAATACTGCAGATTATTTAATACAAAATATATATATGTATATGTTGTAGTTCTGGGGTTTGCTAACACCGCTTTGCTCCGCGAAGCACGTCCTGTTAAGTTTTTTCTTTCTTTTATTCTCTTCTTTCTTCCTATTTATATCTTCCAATCGTTCTATTCCTTGTTTGCGCAAAATCACACGAAAAAATAAATAAATTATATTATATAAAACTTATGAATATTAAATATAATAGTAATAGTTAAATAATAATAGTTATACATACACAATAGTGTATATACATGTTTATATACACACATATATATACATGTACACTGGCTCTACAAACTAAAAAGAAAAGTATATATATATATAATATATATATATATATATTATATGTCTGTCAACACTAGATATCTTTGGTTTTAATACTAAATTAGTTGCAGACGAATTTATATTCCATTTTAAAAAAATTAAATCTCCTACAAAAATATGACTTCATTGTTCTTTTTTCTTTCTTTTTCTTCTTCTTTACACAAACATGCTTTTGTAATTAAGCGAGTGACATATAACATAGGTACATCAGTCGAAATATACAGATCTGAGGAACACGGAAAACGAACAAAAAAAGTATATTGCGTACGTTCATCATTAATACATTTTTTTTTATATTTATATAAATATATAATAACGCAGTTTACGTCTATTATATATATATACACACATATATATATATTTGTTATTTAAGTTTTTTTTTGGACCATAAAAGGCGAGCGCGCGAATGAACAAAATGAAAAGGACATCCAACATTGAGGTATACACACAGAGCGATTACAATAAATACCATATCAAGACTCTCCGAAGGAGCTCCGTATGCAGACGCACACAATGAATCACTTAATTTTAAGATGGCTTAATATATATGGCAGACCTCAGAAGCGAGACCTAGAAGATGGAGCGGGCGTTCAGAAGGAACGAAAAGTAAATTGTAATCTAAGGAGATTTAAATGGTCCCTCATAAACGTAAGATAATTGAAAAAATAAACATAAGAATAAATCATTATATAAAGGTTAAATATATACACACACGTACTGCTATCACTAGTCGTGCAGCATGTGAACGAAGCTAAGCGGGAACATTCCTCTCCTGTCCGGTTCATTCTCAACAACGCCCTCCATCCAGTTTTCATCATCCGTATTCTCGTTTATCACAACGATGATCTCGCCTTCCTGGAACGACAGTTCGTCATCGTTGTCGGCGTTGCAGTCGTAAAGGGCTTTGCATCTTCGAGGACAGCTCCCATTTGGTGTGTACGACATCCTGGGTGATGACAAGGATCCGGTGGATATAGGACTCGAAGCCAGCTTGTGAGGCGGCGAGTCAGATGCCTTTAAAAAGCAGATCATAATAAGCACAGGGAATCATCGAGTTCGGCGGCATTCGAGTAGAAGCAAAACGAAACAAAAACAACCGTACAAGTTATCCACAATTTCTCAGAAGAAAATTCATTTTTTTCGACAAGAAATTAAGCAAAGAAAAATTGTAAAAAGAAAACAGTCAACACTCACTTAACAAAATGCAATATACTAATCATAGAATACTACTTTTCAGTGAGAAAGTCTTAAGACATCTGAATCATAATCATATAAATAAATTACTTAACGTCCTTTTAAAAAATATACGTAGAAGTTGATTCATTACAGTCAAAACTTAATAGAATAGCAAACTGTACATTTGAAGCGCGAAACAAACCTACAAACCTTTCAGAATATATAATAACCATAATTCAATTTTAAACCTAATAGATTCTTCGGTAAAATCAGCAGAAGAGCACGTATAATCAGTACATGCAAACAAATATTAGTAGCAGCTCATATCAAAAGACGCATTGTTAAATGGGCATAGGTTAAAAGAGAGTTGACAGTGTATTATGTAACTTTCATGTTCATTCATTTCGTTCGTTTACACACTACAGAGTTAACTTATATTCACAGGTGCAGGTCTAACAATTCGGAATATTTACACGACGTACGTTGATTTCAATCCGATTGCGTAACACGCCCGACCGTCGCATTTTGCAATGGCGCAATTGCCGCTCTTATGAAATCGATATTTGATTACCACACGGTTTCCTCCATTCGCATATAGAACGAATCGCACGGTATTTCCATCTTCGCGTCAACGTTAAATTATGAACATTTATAATGTAGATGTTAAAGTCTATAATAAGTTTACACTAACTAGCTCTAATCATTTTCATAGCGATGATGCCTATAAAATGTTATACTAACATGATAATTGGAAGACATTTAAAGTCACCTTACAAATGGTATTCAACAAAGAAATAATGTTGAATCCGTTTCATTCGTAGATTTCTTATTTAATTCATATTAAAATTATTGAGCTCAAATTAAGAGTGGAAATAGAATTTCGATGTAGAAAAATTAGCAACTATTATTGATTTAATTTTTAAATTAATTCCGATCGTTAGACTGGGCCTGTGTATAAGGAAAAGTAATCATTAATAACAAAAAATACAATACCATACTGGGGATAATTTGCATTCGCTTTGTTTATCAAATACTTCAGCCATGAGTGAATATGATGAATACTTTATGTTTTGTTCGCAATTCTAAATTCATTTGAGCATGCAAAACCTACTGTCACAATCAATTGTCGGAAAAAAAATGTACATGTGAATAACTTAATACAGTCGTGCACAAAAGGGGGTAATTAATCATTTTAGTGCAGCGGCAACAATACACAATTATTTTGGTCGCGTTTGTTTTATTTTATTTATATTTTTTGCGGAATTTGTCTGCTCTTTTATGCTCATTTTTCGTATATTTTACAATATAACAGTTTTCGTTTGATGATTTTATTGTGAAGCTGTCATGCAGAACACAATAGTTACCGGTTTAATGACTTGTATAAAATTGTAGGAATTTTGTCGTCTCTTCTGTAAACCAACTTGCTACATGTAAATAGTTTCAGGATAGGACGTAAAGGATAGGTGGACTTACCCTGCGCGGCGGTGGTATAGGATTATGGCCGGAGGTGTCCAGGTCGGACACCATTGAAGATATGCTTTCATTTGACCTGCCGTTGGACAGGCGCGGACTCGGAGCAGGCGGAGGCGGATTCAGCGGTCGCTTGACCTGGGTCAACTTGTCGATCCCTTTCGGGTCGATTGGCATGACTAGTTTATTACCTAAGTACAGATAATGAGAATGATGTCAGTCTAGTATTCATGATTTTCATGTTGCGAAGACTAACCATATTGTATCACAGAACGACTTGAACTAGAGTCACTACTAGGAGACCGTTTATGAGTATGACTTAGAGTATGATAACCAGCAGCTACAGGATCTGAAGGAGTCCTACTGTGGCTGCTAGGTAGAGTGCCGTACATAGAACCCGAAGACATTTGCATTCCACCAGACGGAGGCAATGGAGCAACGCGCTTCTTCAGACTGCCATGTACATTGGCTACAAAAGAAGAAAAAATACCACTGTGAAAACTAGCGGGATTCCTGGGGGATGTGGCGGATAAAGGGCTCGACTTACTAATGACGGGTTTTCTCGATTGTGGAGGAGGTGGTGGTGGCATTTGTCGATTATTACTATTTGGACTACTACCTGATTGCAAACTATCACAAGTCGAAGATCTCGAACGTAAGGTTATCGGCGAATCACCACCTGTGTAACTCGGGGGACGTGAGCGATTCTTCTTTTCCGGTGTTAAAGATCCGTTCTAAAAAATCAAAAAGTTGTTAAAAAAAATCTGACCTCAAAACCCAAACCTGATTCATCACCACCGAGAGCCAGAAAATATCTTACCCTATCATCAATAATCGTATCGTCATCTGAGAAATCGGTGGATCCATCATCGTGCGATAAATTCCACTCGATGTTGATATTGTCGAATAAATGCTTTTGCCTATTAACGGCATTTTGCAACTGGAAGAGAATTAAAGTTAAGCAAAACATCAATGAAAAGTAAACAAAAATAGTTACTAGCTCTTGACAAGTCCTGTGACCCATTTCCTGAGCTATGTCCATTGGGGTTTTATCCTGGGAGTTCCTAATCGTTGTATCAGCACCGCAACGCAACAGAAGTTTCATACATTCAGTTTTATCATAAAGCGCGCAAATGTGCAATGCTGTATTGCAGCCAGATATATCCGAGGAGGAAGGCGGTAAAGTTTGCTTATCAATGCCAGTTGAATTCATATTTTGCACCAAAAAATCAACGATTGCCAAATTCTTGCTGCCAGATTTCATGACCACTCGATGCAAGGCTGTTTCGCCGTGATCCTACAATAGACTATTACATTATATTTCTGTCTACGCAATTGCGTTCATAACACATACGGATGTCGGTAAGCTGGCCATTAGATCGACGTTCTCAGCGAATGTTTGCACCACAAGACCCAAATCCTCAGAGTTGATGGCCTCCTCCAAGTCGTAAAGTTTCTCGTGCCCGCCGTGTCTCGTTTTCATCGAATACCTCTTATCTACATATTTCTCTCTTATAAACGTAAATCTCTCTTCCCTAAAAATAAGTAATTGACTTGTTGACTCGTACATCGTATGTTTATTATTAGAAATAAACGTAAGCGTAAATGCGCGACTCACATTGAACTGGACGGAGTTGGTTTATTTCCAAAAGGTAACTTGGCTTCCATTATATCATTGAACGATTGATTTGTCATATGTCTCGCAAGCAAAAGCTGACTAGTTCCCAGATTATCTAAGGTTAAGGATTGAATACGCGATATATGAACACCTAGGTCTCTATGGATTCCGGAACACTCTATGCAGACGATGATGCCAAAATTTGTAGACAGCCACGTCGCATCTAAAATAAACAAATCAGTAATAAGTAATTAAAATGATCAATGAGTTTTACCATTTTTCGAATCACAATCACAGCAGTGATCGTTTCCTGGAATCCTCTGGATGTATCTAATTATCGTTTGCTGTAACTCTATAAAGCCATGGTTAACTTTGTCACCCCCTGAAGCACTGCTAGCGTCGAAAGCTTTCATTAAAGCTCGTTCCCTGCAATTCACTAAAACAGACATCCAAGCATGCTGATCGTGCTCATCCTCTGCTTGGAAATGGTATGTCCGGTTATCTGAAATGCGTAACAATAAAATTCATTAGTTCTCGCAGATCGACAGGAATCGGGTGCGGATGATATTACAAGATATTAAGTCGAAGCCACGTTTATCTTCCGGGACAATTTTTATTTGGCAGGTGAGCAAATTGACCCGGGTCGGAGGTTTGCTTTCGTCGGCGTGGCATATCTCCAGATAACCCTCCGCTTTGACTTTGCATTTGCGTTTCTGCCAGACGCGCCGCATCTTGCCCTCCGACTTCTTCAACAGGTGACCGCTCCTGGTGTAGCCCTGATGCTTGTCGCCTTGCAGCTGATGCAGCGAGTAACCAGCAGCACTTTTATCGACATTCGAACCAACCTCCTTCTCGATGCTGGGAGCAGCGCGGATCAATCCCCGAAGATCATTCAGCTTTCTTCTTTCGTCGTCCTGCTTCTGTCTGATCTTCTGCAGCTCAACGCTTAGATCGGCAACATAATTGCCAAAGTGCTCGATAGTCTTCAAGCCGTCTTGGAAGTAGTTCGTTTGAGCGTGGTAATACTTCACTAGGTTTTGGAGCAGATCTATGCCCTTTTTGGTTTCTATGTCATTGAACTTAATCAGATACTCGCACATTTGCAGCTGGAACAGCTTCCTCTCCTTCTCCATCTCGTCGGCGATCTCGTGACCCGTCACCTCCGTCCTGATCATTCCCGCATCCTTAGCCTGCTGCTTTTTCTCCTTCTCGATCTTGATGTATTTGCTCTCGTAATCTTTCCAGGCTTTATCGAATGGCCTCTTCAAGTCGCCCTTAACGCCTCGCAAATCTCCCTTAAGTAAAGTCTCCAACGGGAACATGACTATGTTGTTCAGATTCTGCATTAGAGTCTTCATCAACGCAGATAGCTCTTTACTAACTACGGAGAATTTTATAAAAGCGGCGCCTATATCGGTCTCCTGATCTTTGGAAACCGCGATATGACCAATTTTTTCTAGAGCTCTAGCTAAATACTCTTCATTTTCTATGTGCGCTGAAATAAACAACATTTTACACATCATAAAGGATTCTATTCAAACTACTAAGATGTGACATACTTGCACCTGATGTGAGGATGGCCTTAATGGCCTTCTTCATTTTCAATAAACCATCCCTGTCAAAGTCGAGAGTCTGAAAATAATCATGTTTTAATGCATGTGGGTGTTGCTTCATTTTGGGAACTTAATGTGGGTGGACTGCTTTGTACTACAGATTAGGTGTACCAGAGTTAGAATTTTGTGATAATACAACTGATTGAGGATACCAAAAATAAAAAAAAGGTTGATAAGATTAGGTGTATCATAAAACTTCCTGTTGGAGTGTTGTGGGAATACCAAGTATAAAAAAACGCATATAATATATAAATGGATTAGGTACCAGACCTTTTTGTATTAATATGTGAGGCATGTTTTGAATATTTATAATGCATGAGTCAAGTATTTTCAGATTCTATTAAGGTATTGTGTAAATAAATAAAGACTATGCTATTGTATAATGATGAGGAAAAGTGAAAAGCTTAAAAGGGAAAGGAAGTAGCTGTTGCAGCAGATCTAAAGCTATCCCTTTCTGTATTGATCATTCCTATGGAGACAAACCTCTTCGAAGGCAGCTATTGTGTTCCTGTACTGAGGCATACGGGACACAAATGATGAGGTAGTGGGGCTGCTCAAGTCATCATGAGTCTCATCGATGAATTCAGATACTTTGATTGAAGTGGGCATGATGAGATGTAATTGTCAGACCAGAGTGTGTATAAGTATGAGCGAGATAGGATAGACGTCAGGAGCAACACTTAAAACAACAACGATGCACTTCACTGGGCCAAACCCGCAATGCACCTCGGCTGCATTATGTAACGCCCCGTGTCACTACGCGCGTTCACTTGTTCGCATTAAATCGCATCAATTGAGCCCAGTTCCCAATGTTTTTTTTCATATTTCCAATGCACCTGAACACCATCCGTTGCCCACCATAATATCAATTTCAACAACAACATTCAGAAAACAAAATCTACTAGCTAAGCTTCTAACGTTGGCAACACTACGGGCGGTAGATTCGAATACAAAACGCGCGTTACCGACACGACCAACACTTGTTTCCGATCAATTTGCAACAAGCAAATCGATCCGAAATTGTCGCTGTTGTTGCTGCTGCTTATGTTGTTGTTGTTGTTATTGTTGTTGCCGATCTGACGGTTCGCACTCTTCGCACTGCTGTAAATGGTCGAGCTGCACAATCAACGTCGACGGTCATCGTCTAAAGATCATGTGACAAAAACAAATATGTCCACACATATTACATGGAATCATGTCTGATCTGGCTGACATTTTGAAAGGTGCGTCAAATCTGTGCAACTTATTACCGATTTTTACCTAGTCTATTTTGCAGACACACACAGTATCTGGCAACGCCTCTTCGACCACAAGGGTTTTCTGAACGGTGAAATACAATACGCTCTCCGCGAATACGAAGTAAGTACAAACTGTCTACTAGTTTGAGGTTATAAAACAATATAACTATTATTTTCAGCAAAAACGCAATGACCAGGAGGTGGAGAATCTCTTTGCCATAGTGGAGAATATCGCGGACATCAAAGACACGCAGATCGATAAAAGCAAACAGCTGATAGACTCAACATTCCCACAAATTCAATTGGATTTAGTGAGAGCTGATCATATGTTGAAAAGTATAGAAGAGCTTGAGCAGAAACACAAAGAGAACAATACTTTGGAGCAGAGAAGAGAGAGAAGGAAAGCTGAGTGGAGGAAGTTCGTGGAGGAAATTACTGAACACTGTTCTGAAATTGACGAGAGCTTTATAGAGAAGGAGGACGAGCTGCAAGAATTTTACAGGGATCTGGAACGTAAACTGCATTTAACAAAAATCCCGTAAGATGACAACTGCCGCTCTGGATAATTGCTATGTTAGGGTGAAACCCTCAAAGGCTTTGTCCGATTACATAAGCAGCATTGGAAGTGTGAGTGATATGCCCAAGAATATTTTGAGTTTCAAGTCTGCGAAAGAATCTGAAGTGTCGTTTGTTAGATGGGAACACAAGGTGTTAATTAATCCCACTGATAAGGAGTTTATTGAAACCCTTTGTATGGAAGATGATAAAGATGATTATGTGGTTGAAGAAAAGCCTGTTGAAGGGGAGGAGTCCAAAAAATTCCTGTTACTGGAAGATTTGCATTGGCTTAAGGAGTTTATCGACTCAGAGAACGCAAAGACCGGTGAGAAGGTGTACTTTCACGAGCTGTTCGAGGGATCCAACCTGGTGCTACCCGAGAACAAGGAGGTGCCGCGCAATCCGGAACTGGAGAAGCGTTGCATCAAGTTGAAAGCCCAGCAGGAGAACAGGGTCTACAAGGCAATGACCAAGAACATCGACAACGTACGGATGAGGCATCCGGAAGACACCATCGCATACCAGGTGAAGCAGATCAACAGTCAGCTGATCGCGATCTTCCAGTTCATCGTGTCCGTGCTCGCGGGCTTTGCGTTCGGCTTCATTGGCATCGAGGTGTTCGTTGGTAGCCTGGACTTTGGCTTCCGCCTGCTGCTTGGCATTATGTCTGCATTGATCGTCGCCCTCGCAGAGCTCTATTTCCTCGCTAAGAAGCTCAACGAAGACCTCGAGTTCGAGACGAAGATCAAAGAGAAAGTCAATTAGAGATGTCGCGCCACACCCAAAATAATTAGCAAATATTGATTACAATTTTATATGTATTCCCAGAAGAAAATATCTCGAGCGCGCGCTTTGAATACGTGAGTACCACTCGTGACGTTTTTGGAAAGCTTTGGGCCTTCTTCATTATGATTTTATTATTTGTTTTGTTTTTATTTTCCAAAATTCATTACTCATTCCACAGCTACAGTCTCAGAACTCCATAACAGTCGAACGATTATAAAATAAAACTTGTCGATCAATAGCTGGAAGTGTCCAACTTGCAATCACCGCATTCGTCCTGTACCGCTTAACTTTTCTAACCGGAGGTTAAGTTATATGACCAAGGTCGAATGTTAAACCGAACAGGAATGTGTCATTGACAAGACTGATGTTTTTTTTTTCAATTTTGTTGGGCGTGATTATCACTCGCTTTTATAATTCTAAGGGTTTTATACAGTGCTCATTGTTCATTATTTTAACTGTACCTTAGGATTCAAAGAAACGCTTTATTGATTATACAAAACCTTTTTGGTTATCTTTATACACACACATATATATATTGTTATTTAATATTTTTTAAACAATTGTAATCCTATATTGTAAACTTTTACTATATATATACCAAAATATGTATTTATTAAATAATTAATTCGCTGGCGAAAATGAAATAAATTACGCCGGAGGAACATAATCGATTTTCCGCCACAGTATACTCGATATTCCTTGTCTACGCTTCATTATTTCCATCCACTTTTCTCTTTTTACCTCAATGCCCCACGAGTTCTTCGGTTTACATTGCGAGTTTAGTTTCTTTCGAAATCTCTAACCCTCGGGCACAGCGAAACACAAACTTTCCACTCGCCCCGAGACATTTTTTTATTCCTTTTCAAGTTATCATTTATGCTTTATTGTCCGAAATTTTCTGAAGGCTTCATTACATTGATTCACAAAATAAAAGCAATTTTAAACATCTTTTTAGATTTCCTAAATTTTCATTTAGAATGTCTCAATTATTTTGATTTATTTTTCGGTATATGTTTGTATGTGTAACTTCCCGTATCGATTTTGCATATATGTAAATGCGAACGGCAAAGGAAGCATTTTTCAAGAGTCCGTAGTACGTAAATCCAGTTAATCCTTACAGATTTATTGCTTAATTTCGCAAGGGGGAAACGGCATTTACCTTTTACGCACGAAAGACCCCCGAGTGTCCTTCCTTAATTGTTCCTGAATACAGATTGCTCTCAGTTATTTATTACGATGCAAGCTTACCTACCTCATTCAATTACAGATTCTATTCTCATAATAGAGAAATCCATTCAAGATTTATTGGTTTATGGTGAACGCAGCGCAAAATTAGAATACTAATGCTTTCATTTATGCATTCTTTGTGCGTGCCAAGATGTTTTCTTTGTTAGAAATCAAGAGGATGAATCTTAAGGCAGCGATGCATTTGAACTACTTATAATAATGTTTTATCTTGTAAGCTCTAATTAACAATTACTGTTCCAATTCCAATTGAATACATGCAATTAATTAGTTCATTGTAATTTGTTATCTTGCAGTTCATATATTATTCATTTCACTTAGTATCGACTTCCAATGTTAATAAAGATAATCTTTATTGTGTTTAGATTGTGAAATACAATTAGACAACTGACTCAGTATATTAGAGAAATGCCGATGACTATGTTATTTTCAAGTTACTTATCATATTTGGTATTAATTCAATAATATCATTTTTGTGATATGATTGTGAATAACTGTTTACTTAATTTGATATATACAGATTACATTACATTACATTATCTTCTCCAGTAACAAACAATGTATTATTTATCTAGTGTGATTTCTGCATGTTGGATGTAGCTGGCTCCGGTCCTGCGTAGTAATTTACTGTAAACATTTTATGAATCATTAAAATGCAACGATGAAATCATTCTATTTTCTATTAGTAGAATGAGCTTGGGGCATTAGTAGCACTTGTGCATTGAGTTCCCCTACGAGAAACCATCAGTTTCTCTATGATGCACTTGTTTTATGCGTTCGATGAACGATGTTGAGACTACTGCACATGTAATTTCATAACAACGAAAAGAAAAGTTGCGAAGCAAAAGATTAAAAAAAAAATTGAATAACTAATGGAATAGAAGAACGTCAAGCCAAGTGAATTATTTCTATTCCACACGGCGGCACAATTTTTGGTATGCCAAATACATTTGGCAGAATGTATCTGAGCGTATATAGAATGGTACGATCGGATTTCGCTTTTCGAAATGCTCGCAAAATCATCTGTTTCAATAAACTACACATTATATCGTTATTTTTGGTACACCTACTTCATCATCATCATCACCACCATCGACGTTGTCTTAATGCGTCCATTGTGCGTTTAGAAAGTTAAAACGCTTGCGAGATTCTATCTCACCAATGCTTACGAAATACCATTATAATTTCAAATAATTTAAATCACCGCGCGAATTATAATATTTATATATGTTAATGCATATGTGAAGAGCGGAGGAAGCACATTTGGCTTTCGTTCTAAGTCGATCCAGTTACTCCTAACAGATTCCCGTTCTTTTTATCCGGTGTCTGCTTGGGACAGTGTATCCTTAATCCAGTAATTAAACTAATTAATCTTCACTACATTTTCTTTAAATGTATTCTAAATAGTACTAATCTTATTTTCTTCTTAAACCAACAATTCGTTATATGCAATTATTTGATTAGGATTTGTAGATTATGTAATTAGCTATCATAATCACATATACAATATTATTTGCTACATATAAAAACAAATAAATATAATTATCATATTTATTACAAATATATTATATTTGACTAAACAATAAATAATTTCACAGAAAATTTTTGATAATGTATTATTTGTATTTATTATTTTTGTAGAACTTATCTCAAAATATTGTGCAAACAAAGGCTGTTAATCTCTATTTTGTCGCAATTAAGAAGATTGTATTTTTATACAGCAAGTTCTTAGTAATCGCATTTTTTGTTACAGTTTTAGTGTGTATATTTGCAAAACACTTGATGGAATTGAATGCATTTGCAAAGCGAATTCAGCAAATTAAATTGGGATACTTTACATACCAAATCCGTGTTACCTGTGTTCCAGTTTCGGGATGCGGCACGCTGCAATGAGATGTATGGTATTCTATTCATGATCACGTCCACATTGTTGCGATTTAATGTAATTGAACGTAACGCAATTTAGAAAATTGGATACCGGATCTCTTTGTTATTTGCACAGATATCTGTTGTTTGTACAGAAAGTAGGATGTTATAAATCCTGATCCTCATCAAGAAGTGCCGGATAATTATTACTAAGACAAGAAAAGCTATTAGTAATTCATCGGGAGATTATGGTTGTTGACATGACGCAAGAACGAGAGCACGTTGCGCAACGCGTTGGTCTTGAGCCTATGTCGTGGATAACATGTGTGCAAAATTCTTCGGTTACATATATTATTGTATGATATCCATGGAATTCGGTGGTCAGAGCACGCTTCAATACTATTACTCATCCGGTGGTTGTCTTATTGATCGGATTAAGATGCTGGAAGTAGCTCTGATTTGTGCAAAAAACGTTTGCGCAAACTGAATATACCCATTGCGCTGCTACAAAAGAATTTTCGTTTTGGAAAATTGCTTCTGCATTAATTGTTTGTATAATAATGCGTGGGTTGTCGACCTTTTCGCGTGGAGCGCGTGACGGCGCGCTTTTTCTCTCACTCCAACTAAACACACATAATTCTTCTCTCTATTACACACATTCTCTTTTCCATATCTCAACAAAATCAATCTGTCTCTCTTTCTCATACTCTTCGAGTTCTTCATCTGTTTTATTGAAATTGTTATTTATTTTTTGGTGCAATTTGCAGAAAGCAGCAGCATCGATTCGTATTTGTCGCACATGCTTTCAAGAATATCGACCGAAATACTTGAGTAGGCGTAGCCTCAACGGAGCAACAAGTATCGACATTTGTCGATGCTAAATGATAGTGCAAACGCTGCTCGGTCCTCCGTCTATTCGATCCCGTTCAATTCGACGAGATAAGTTCAAGTATGTCGAATCAGTTTGACTATGTCGACTAATAAAGAAACTACATTTCAAACGATTGCTGAGATCTGCTATCATTGAGTCATTATACTCACTCGAGTAATTATTTTGACTGACTCACTTAACTGCCTGTTACCATCAGCAACTACAAATTATTATGTATTATATAATACAAATCAATTAATCCTCTCTAGTATTTTTAACTATTTAGTATATATATTCAAGAACTTTACAATATATTATTTCTTTCATTTACTTATAAATACTCAACACATATTTAAATTTGTTTACTGTTTATTAATTTATCATTAAAGTTATTTTCCTCACCGTGCAATGATGGTATTTGCTATGACTGTCTGTAAACAATTATAGTCTTCAAATCCTTGAAATATTAATCCTATGATTCATTGAATTGTTATTGTTTTATCCTAATATTTAGGTCAATATCTCTTGTTGTATTATCGTGCATTCATAATACGAATTTCCAAATACGGATTGCATCCTTGTTTCTATTTTTTTCCCTTCTTCTTCCTTTATCTGCTCCTGCATTTATTACCATAATATTGTTATGTATGAAAGCATTTACATGCATTGATATGCAATAGAAGAAAATTCAAATAACATTCAATTTTAATGATTTCGAATATTTCAAATCACATATGTCTCCCTACGCAAACTAAACTATGTTATACTTGAATATGAAAGCAATTGGAAGCACCATGTGGCATAGCATGACTCCCCAGTTACCCAAGCCAAAGCAAATACTCCGATGAATCCATGCTTTTTCACCCTATTGATTTATGGATAAACGAGACATTTATTTTTATACATCCGAGTAAACTTGCTTTTCGCAACTTTCTTTTTTCGAATACGCTTATTTTATAACCCATGTGATTATTGTTTATTTTAATACAATTTGTTTGAATTTACCATTATTATCCTTTTTTTTTTTCTCAATTTAATAAAAAAATGTAAAATTTCCTATTTTCAGTCATTATTTCTTATAAAATACAATTGTTTTTGCAATGATTTCATTTACATACATATTCAGTTTCGTCTTCTCGTCTAACGCAGAGATTACTCTGAGTCATTTACTGTTGAAATAAATCACGACTCGGTATCTGCTGATATGAACCGCATCCATCTGAGATCATGGTGCATTAATAAATAATTCATTTTTATGTAGTAAGATGAGACAAGATTCAAGGTCAATCGTCAAATATTTCCAGTTCTATTATGCACTTATTTTTCTTCGAAATTCTTAGAATGTTTCTGCCATTCAACGGTTTTACAAATCATAATCTAAACATTTTATTCGTATTTCAATTAAAATTGATTGAATATTTTTAGAAAAAATTATAACAAAATCTAGTTTATGTAACGTTCTTAATAATAATTGATATTTGTGTTTTAGAATTATGTAGTAAAATGAGATTGTCACTTTATATAATCTTGTTTTGAAAGGCAAATGGAAGATGAATGCGTTGAACTA